ACCCTAAAGAAAGAGCTCTTTCTCGGCTTGTTCAATGAAACTGGTTACAAAAGACACATCAATGCAAAGTAGAAGGGCTGAACTTTCTTTCAAATGTTGTATTTTGGCATGATTGAGGGATTTTTTGCAGTAAAATTGAAAATATATTTAGCCTTTTTCTAGTGTTCTTGTCTAACGTCGAAAAGCGTGCAGCCAGATTTCGCCCTCAATTAAGGGACCACATTCACCACAAAGAAACCCTATGGTGCTTACTTTATGAATTAGCAGCTGTACAATTTCACGGACAACCCAACCAAAACATAATTAGTTCATTTGCTATGCAATTAATAGAATAATATTTTTTTAAAGAGAGGCATACGTCGACGTCGACAAATGTCGACAATGGCGGTGAAAGGGTTAAGCATATGACGCCATATGCTTCACGTTTGGGTAAAACCGCCAACCGATGTCACTTCGGCTCAGGTTAATGGCGGATAGGAAAAAAACGACTTTCAAAGCTCGATTTCTCCTGCTTTTCAATGATGTATCGATAAAAAAAATCTCAGAAATACTTATTTGGATCTTCATAAAGAGGTATATGTACAAAAACAGCTCAAATTCGATGTTCGATTTTCATCGTACCCGCACTTTAAATTCATACACTAATTTTTGGTGAAGAAAGACAAACCTTTTACATGTGAAAGATGGTGAACAAGAAGAATCCAAAGCAAGGCCATTCTGAATTCTCTCAGACTTGAATGAAATCACTTCGCCTTAAATATCTCAGTTTTAACTGAAGATTTATAATGATTTATAATATAACTGAGGTGTCATCATGGTTACCAAAATTGTGAAACAACTTAAGTGCCTCCCATTGTGTAAAAGAATGAAATGGTTTATAACTTTTCAAGGTATCATGCACAGAACATGACAGGTGCACATAACGGGAAAATAATAAGCAATCGTTACACAATATGAAATTATGCGCAACAGAATGTTTCCGATTTTCTTATCGGTCGAGGAAATAAAATTGTTAAGAAAATAAAGGACGAGGTTCTCCGTATTTACCCTTCGGCCTGAGCGAGCAAGCTTTAATAAGATTTTACATACTGTTTGAAACTAGACCCTGACAGCAGGGTGTACTCGCGCCCTAAAGGTGTTGAAAAGTGCTGTCTCATTCAGTACTTTTTCAAAATGAGCTCATTTAAAACTTTTCTTGTGTTTGACCAATCATGTAATATACTGTCTTTCTCAATTTTCAAAAATAGTTCGACCGAGTTGACGCTCTAAGGAGGGTCTGGTTTAGATGTAAATAATGGAATAGTGCTACCAAAGGCATGCAGTTCATCTATACTGATAAATCACAAAGTGATTTGAAATCAAACTATATTAAGAGAAAACATTTGTGAAAGTATCTCCTCCTTGATTACTTTT